AATAATAATAATAATAATAATAATAATAGTTATTTGTATACCGCCCTGTGGCGAACCAAGTGGCTTACATCAATTAAAACCCCATACAACAAAATTCATACCCCAACCCACCCCCTTAAAACAGTATTAAATGGCAAGATAATTAAAACAGGAATATAAACATTCCAACACAAATAAAACAAACATGAAAATATAAAAACGTAAAAATATAAAAATGCCCTGATTAGACTCAACTGCGCTCCCCATCCATCAGCAATTGATGGGGCCACGGGGGGGGGGGGGGGGGGGGGGGAGCACAGGGATCAAAGAGCCCAAGGCCAGGAGGATTAATCTGGAAAGGCTTGCCAGACTTTTGCCATAAGTGTTGCATGTGAACTACTTTCATGAGTGCAACATCATTACATAAGGACATTGTTTTTCTAATAACGCTGTCTTTGTTTAGGCTGCAGTGCTGTACTTCATTTATCTGGGAGTAAGTTCCATTGAACTCAGTGAAACTCTTTAGTAGACATGTAAAGGATAAATGGTCACTAAGGGCCTTTACAGACTGTCAGAAATAATGCAGATTGAGGCCACTTTAACTGTCCTGGTTCAGTGCAAGAGAATCATGGGAATTGTATTTTTTTCTGGGACATTGAGACTTCTCTGCCAGAGAGCTCTGGTGCCACAATATACTACAGTTCCCATGATTCCTTAGCACTGAGCCAGGACAGTTAAAGTGGCCTCAAGCTGCACTATTTCTGGCAGTCTGTAAAGGCCCCTAGAACTTCATGTTCACAGTCCTGGTTTTCTATGGCAAGAGTGGGAACAATGCAGCCCTACAGGTATTGTTGGACTTTCATCATCCCTAGGCAGCATTGCCAGTGGTGAAGAATGCTGGGAGTTGCAGTCAAAACAAGATCTAGAATGCAGACAGTTTCCATTCTTGATCTACAGAGATAATGCATGTTTGAATGTGTTCTCACTGGAATGATTTTTGACTGGTGAGTAATAATTGTGAGTTGTGGATACAGTGCAGAGATTGCATTGTGTTTGTTAATATAAAATAGCACTTCCTGTGGGAATGCTCTTCTGTGGTCATTAATTTTAAGATTATTTATTTGATTCAGTTTTATCACCAAATTTTGTTACTAGATAAATAAATCCCTGTCTCCTTTTATGTTTTCTTTGAGGAGGACATTGGAGGTATGGGTCTCATTTGGTGTAGAATCTCATGTCAAAGTGCTGAGCATACCCTTGTGGCAGCTTTTAACATGGAGATCCATGTGTGCTTTTAATGTATAGTCTTGGCCAGTTGAAATCAGTACATAATCTACAGCTGACTTCAATGAGATCCACATCTAGTCTAGGAAATATGGACTAGAAACCTGCTGGAGACCATATCAACATAGGGGGGTTGCAGACTGCCAGAAATAGTGCAAACTGAGTCCA